TGTTAAATATTACTATTTAACTGTTTTATTTAAAAATGTAAAGTTTAAACTTAAGTTTAATTTTTACCTTCTTCACAAGGTTGATCATTGCATTTTTCAGTAGAGAATATGATATTGTCGGCGTTACACTGATTCACAGGTACGGTTTTGTTATCCTTCATACAAATTACTTTACGAGTCATGTCGCCACCATCACATGGCTTCGAACACTGCAATATATTATGACATCGTTGATTACATTTTGAAAAATTATAATAAATCTGAATTATAATCAAGCTTTAAAACTAGTAATAAATTTAAACAAAGCAGTATCAATTAATCGTGAAAATAAGAATGTTACATGTTGTCGCGGAAATAATTAAAAATTAAAGCAAACCTTGCTCCAAGGCCCTGCGAACCATTCGCCTTTACATGGTTCTTCAGCAGTGCAATTTTTAATATTTTCAAATTTTTTTTTGGGATCACAATTCTCGTCCGAAACTTTCTTTACAATATCGTTGCTAAAAGTGCCACAAAACACTTTGCGCATTTGAACGCCGTATCCACATTTTGCCGAACACTATGAAAATATGTAATAAAGATGAAAAATACCAAGAAAATAAATTTTATTATTATATATTTAACCTTTAAAGGACAGGAATCTGTTTAAAATTTCATAGCTTTTCCTTTAGTAAGATGTATAATTCGTAATATGTAATTATTTCTTGCCTCAAAATATGACACTATTTCAGCATTATAATGACATTCCCGTTCTGTAAAGGTTAATTAAAAGGAATATAAGAATGTTTAATTCAAAGGATATTATTAATGTAATTAGCAATTTAGCCAATTTGTTGGTATGTATATATCTTTTTATTTTAAGGTAAATGGACGTGCAAGAAAATATTTATTTACTTACTTCGCTCCATTGCGAGGTGAACCACTGAAAATCGCAATTTTTAGCTTTATCACAGTCTCTTTCCAATTCTGGCTTCTTGTCTGGATCACACAAATTATCTGGATGAACTGTGCCATCTTGAGTAGCGCAATGGGCTGTTCTGGTTTCTTTGATGAGATCACATTTCTCCTCGCACTATCAAGATAAGATTTTCGATTATATCAGTTTGTTCAAAACTTTGAGAAGCATAAAGAAGTAATTTCGGTAATTTTTTTCATTTAATAAAAAGTTATTCGCGGGTTCAGAGAACTTACTCCGCTCCATTCCGAGGTAACCCAATCGAGACCAGCGCAAGGTCTCAGCTCGCAAGTCTTTTCATTTTCAGGCATTTCCGCTTCACACGCTCCATTTTCCAACACTTGAATCTTGCCATCGACCTTCTTGTAACACGTAACTGTTCTCATTTGCTTACCAGGTCCGCATATATGATCGCACTAGAAGAAAATAGATTTCTTTTGTCAAATCGTAATTTAATACTTCATGATAATGTAACTTACAGGCTTCCAGGGCCCTTCGTGCCACTGTGGACAATCTACGTCTTTGTTGCATTCTTGCTTAGTAAGCCCTTTAGGTCCCACTTTTTCCAAACATTGAGAATCATCCACCACGGAAGCTATTCCACCTGAGATGATTTGTTCACATTTTATCTCTCTAGTCTGCTCGCCTCCCTCGCCGCAATGTTTGGTACAAATTGACCATGAGCCTTCTACCCAAATAGGAGGACATGGTTCTTCGCTACAGCTTTGAGTATCAGTCGGTTCCAACTGCGGATCGCATAAATTCTCATCCACTGGTTGATTGTCACGCCTCCGTACACAAGCTACCTTTCTCGATTGATAACCTTGAAAAATAAACGAAACATATTTGCTCTTGTTGAAATACAACTGTAATTATTATTTTAATTAGCGGATTTGCTTTTAAATTTTGATTTTGACAACGAGAGATTTGCAATTTTATTGCAATCGTATCTAATTACAATGTTTCGACAAATTTATTACTATTTTGATATTATAAAAATAATTTGCTAAAGGCCAATCAAAACAATTTTTTACTACTATCAACAGGTCTTCCAAATATTTGTGCGTATTGTATGAAAGCATCGTTTCCTAATAATAAGAAAATATGAAATGATTTAGAACCTACACTTTTAATCACGTGCATATTAAAATTATGATCTTATAATACCTCCACCGCAACTAACACTGCAACTTGAAAATTCATCGGTTACCCAAGTGTAACTATCCGGATCGGTACGCGCCGAAAACTTCTTAGGTATGCTGTACTCGTAATGCACCCCCACGTTACGATCTTGGTACAACAACTGCGAAAGGAAAATAATTTCTCATTAATACATTCTGAACATTTCACTAGCAGCAAAAGAAAATCGATATCAATATACCGACCACAACGTAAATCGGTTCATTTGTAGGTCCCAGAGCCGTGATGGTATCGGGTGCTGCAAATCCTTGAGGATCTCTAGCGTAATGAAAGATCGTACCAGAAAAGCGCAAGCTGCGTGGAAAATCTATCCTCCAATTGCCATTTAAATAGTAATGCCCAGTTGTGTTGCGTATGGCTAATTAACAAGTTTCAAGATTACTTGGAATGAGCAATTATATTATTAAACAACTTATTGATATTATATTTATTGATATTAAATTATTAATATTAAATATGTATATATGTCTTACCGTTTGATATTTATACAAGTTTTCATTTCATTTAAACTCACCTAAATAATTGTTGGATGGATAATTTTCTTTGATAATGATATTTGTCGCACCTTCGGGAATAAGTAAAATATCGATATATCCTGGAAATGTAATATTTCTCTATTAGTGATGCAGAGAAATAGATTAAAAATAATAGAATTGCAAATATGTAAATAATAGAATTGCAAGTTTATAAAAGTAAAAGAAAATTAATTAAAATATACAAATATACATTAATTATACAGAAATAATTTTAATTGCTTGTTAGAAATTACTAATATTATAATCAACGAAAATAACTTACCTACTTGAAGATCATCTGTGTCAAATAAGCCGGTAACGGTATTGCAATCTGAACCATCGCCACCACATTCTCTGCACGCATCTTCCTTGACATCACTGCCCAACATCATATCGCATCCGACGTGCTATTTAAAACAATTTTATAATAAATTCTATCTCAATACAGCTCTATTTTCGCTCTTATATTTCCTTTAATTATAATACACAACATATACGCTTTATCACAAGTTTATTATTTAACATAAGCCAATATTATTCGATAATAAAATAAAATTGTCTACTTGTCTAATCTTTTACGCAATTATTAAATTTATAATTAATAATTAAATATAACTCACCATGCATTTGCCTTCGACGCAAACATCATTCTTTTCGGATTCACAAGGAGTGCCGTCGACCACAGCGACTTTATGTCTGTAGAAAAATCGCTCTCCTCGTGGCATGCAATTTAGTTCGCATTTATTTGGACTTCCGATGTACGGAATCCAACTATAGGAAACAAATATGATAACATGTAAATAAAAATCGATAATTATATCGGGCCCATTTATATTATCGGATACAATGAACTATAGAGATGCATCAGATCAAAATTATTGGATACTGGATGTCGGATATCCGAAAAGAATGTCATACCAAATATCGGATATCCGGTAGGGCAGTTATCTGGCTAAATATCGGATATTTTCCGAATAGCCATTCCCCTCTCCCTCACTACAAATTCTCCCAAATTCTTAAAAAAAAAAAAAAAAAGGAAAGCAAGGGGAAAATAGCGATAATAATTGAACAAGATTGTTTGTAATAGTTTCAATATTACTTAGTAATCAAATTAATATTAATAAATTTCAATATTAATAAATTTTTCGTAATAGACAATAACATTTCAGCATTTTTCAGTGACAATCTATTTCGATTATCGGCATGAACTATCATACTTGTGAAAAATCATAAACTGTTTAAGAGATTTAGCTAAAAAGAATAAAATTTTGCATCAATAACACAAACAATATAAAATTTCAATCGGATATATATAATATGTTTCCGGAATTAATGACATTCGACCGGATAATAAAAAAAAATACCGGATAATAGAAGATATTGGATATTTTCCAAAGCATCTCTACTTATGAATTATTATTTAATTCTTCTGTTTAACAAACGATATGCTTTGCATCGGAAAGTAGAAAAAAATTCATTACGGCAAATAAAAGATTTATCATTTTATTTTATGTTAATGAATAATAACATTTATATAATCATAATATAGATTTTTGGTAAAAACTTTCAAATCCTTTTCAACTACTTGACGGATAAAGAAGAAAAAGTATAGTAATAGAAGAAAAGGTTCAATGAATAATGATCTAAATATGGATAAGCAGTGTTTCAGTTTTTTGGAGCACTGCTATCTGATAACAAGCATATAGATAATTTCATTGAACGTCGTAAATTGATGCTTTTTATTTAATTAATTTATTTATATATGAACATACATACAGTCCCGTTTCTAACTTTAATTATGTTTTCGCCCTTTATAAAAATATTTCTTTGTATAAATTCTACTATTCTTGTTTATTATGAAAGTAACCACTTATTTTTAAATCATCTTTTCAAAAACAACGATTTTCTCTTTTTTTTTAGGAAGCTTTTAAACTGAAATTTTAATCTATGTAGGATTATCCTTTTTACAAGTATTGAAATAGACGCTCCACTAATATTAGATATAGGAAAAAGTTCGTGACGGTTTTTTAATGCCATCTAATGGGAAAAACGCCACGAACTTTTTCCCACCTAATACATATATTCTCAATAAGTTTAAACAATTTACGATGAAAAAATAAAAGTGAAAGAGAGAGACAGAGACAGAGAGAGAGAGAGAGAGAGAGAGAGAGAGAGAGAGAGAGAATAAAAGAGACCTACTCGTAATAAACTCCTTCGAAAGGTACATTGTTAAACTCCGCACACTGTTCCGCACGAAAATCTGTCGATTCGCCAAGGCATTCCTGCAAAAAGAAGTATAATTGTAGATTTTTCAATTCAGCAGGATAAAATTATTGACGCACAGATCAAATTTTAATTTAAATTACTTGATAGAGTCTGTAGTATCGAGCAGACAACAAATCAAATTAAAATGATTCTATTGTAATTTAATTATCAAAAATGCGAATTGTTTTACGAAGAAATTATTAATTTTCTTTCTGTAATAAAAAATGATAATTTAAGTAAATGAATAACATTTGTTAATCTTTTCTATCAACATTTTGCAATATTTTGTGATAATTATATCGAAAAAATTTTTTTGCACTTTTGTGTTACATTAAATCAATGCAGCAATTTAAAAAACGGACTAAATAAAAATAACACTTTTGCAAGGAAGATAACGTTCGCTGCGATCAGCTTTTAGCGAAATGAATAAAAATAAAAATTGTATAATGCAAATATAATTATTAATTTATAAATATGTAATAAAAAGAAAGTAAAATGAATGCTTGAAAGCTTAAAATTATTGCAAAAGTAAATCGTGTAAATTCTTTTCTATCGCATCCACTCCACTTTATCATTTTCAGTTTTGATAACCTCGAATTCAAAATATATATTAGTGATGAATGTCGAGTTTTTAAATATACACATGTTTGAGTATCGTTGTTGAGGGAAATCTCATTACTGTATAAAAGGACCGAAGAAAAATGTTACTTATAGGTAGAAAGATCTTTGTAATATCTCTATTTTTTAGCTAATGGTTTCTTTTAATTTGATTTCTTGAATATCTTATCTCATGAGATACATCATTTGCTTAATATTATTACAGTAGTAAGAATAAAAAAGAAGTATTTATCAAACTTGATACATTTAACAAGCAATTTTATAACTTCACTTTTTTATCGTACCTTTATCAATTTTGATTAAAAATTATTTACGAATTATTTTTTATTAATTTTTACATCATATCTAAATTAATTGCTAACTCTTTTTGGTAACTTGAGTGATGAGACTGATAGATTTACATATTTTATCCTTGTTTAATGCTATGAAATAAATATGTATGTGTTGTGCTATTTCATGAATGCCCCGTAAAAATAAAATGAACTAGAAATAGATGTGCTTCACATTGGAGAGCAGCCTCTGTGAGGTAAGTAACATCGATAAATCGAGTGGAATCTTAGCAAAAGCGAAGAAAAGATACTCCGATGGGACCGGTACCACGCACGAGGATACAGCGTAAAATTTATGGTATGAGATTTCTTGTGAACGAAATAAAATACTAGTAAAAATATAGCAATAGCATAGAATTTGTAGAATTATCATTATTATGTCATGACATAATTTCAGTTCATTAATAAGAATCGTAATTCTTTTAAAATAATTATGTTTTAAAAGTTTTACATTAAACAAAATTTTTTTATGCCATTAAAACGACTTGTTATTAAAAAATTTTTTTAAGAATTGAAAGTACATAGCCAATAATACATGCAAAATGTATTATAATAATAATTATTAATAACTCTCGCACTACATCAGAAAACTGATGCACTACAAGATAGGCCAAAAATTTAGATACAGTTGAATATTTCTTTAAATAAATAAAACATTTTTGAGAAAAACATTTTATATATACCTACGAAGTTGTAAGGTTTGAATAACGCATCAAACAGCAAGACTTATTTGAGTATGAAGAAGCTCTCAATGTCAATTTAAAAATTTTTAATGTAAGCTGCCACTTTTTATTCAATATTTTTGTAACTGACATTGAGAGCTTTCAAAGTACTACAATGAAACTCCTTTAGATTTAATCTTTTTCGAATTGGCAAAGTTCAGATATCGCCATTATTAACATTATTCATATTCAAGGTATCCGATCAAAATAAAGATCATTAAAAATTGTTCTCCTCATTTTCATTTTTAACGTAAAACAATGATCTTGACTTTGACAAATGTTATCAAGGTTATATTATGTCCACGAATTTTCGGTATAGGTTTTATACCAACCGTCAGTCGGATACTTTGGATAACGCTAATGCTGGTACCTGAACTTCGTCATCTCGAACAAAATTTAATCAAAAAGAGTTTTATTGTAATACTTTGAAAAAAATCTGAATGTCAGTTACAAGAATAATATGAATAAACAGTAAAGGTTTTCATTAAAAATTTTAAAGTTGACCTTGAGAACTCCTCCATACACATGGGGGAGAACCCATACCTATACTTGAGAGCTCCTCCACACGTGGAGGATAAAAATACAACAACAAGGCACAATAGTAGCAATACAATAGTTACAATACAATAGTAACAATAGTAACAATTGTTAATATTTCTTGAACTATAATAGATATGTGTATGCGATTGCATGATACAATTCTGTAGACAGATCGGCAATGAATTGTTCGTTGCTGGTTCACACGAAATGTGCATGAGTACAAGAACAGAAATTACTTTTTTCATGCATCAAGTAAGTTTTATTGTATGCACAAAATCTAAAATTTTTTTTGTTCTTTATAACGAAGATATAATGTATTATCTTAATATGTTTTAACGATTATCTATGTTGATGATTTGCACATTTGAGTTGATTTTTATTTAGGTTAGATTAGGTTTTAATTTAAAAAATTTACTATAAATTTCATAAAATATCATTAGAGGACAATAGTGACATCGATATCTTGGGTCAGTTGTAACGTTACAATTATTCTAAGACTTATTTGATTTTATTTTAGTGTTGTTTTGCACGATATTATTTGTAATTTTCTTCGCAGAATGCCACTGATAAGAAAACGCAAAACCGATTAAAAAAAAAATTATATTAAAAAAAATCTTTATACAAACAGATATTTAAAAAGGTTATAAAGGACTAATTATCTATTCATGCAGCTGCAAGAAAGAATATGACTTATGTAGTTGTGTACCTCTGGCAAATGTGGAATACAATTATCCCTCTCTATTGTTACAATCGTTTCGGGAATTAAGATGGGGAGTACGGTCAATTATAACAAAATTCCTCATAGTTTTGAAACAAACATAACTTTTGTCTAATTACATAAAAAAATTAAACCAAAGAAAATTTTGCTAAATAAATTCTACATTTAAAGATACATACTTTCTTAATGTAAATATATTTTGATTGTTATAACACTTTAAAGTAGAAATATTACTTTTGTTCCCGGTCTCCCCTATACTTAAGGTTAAATAAGTTTCGTCACTTAATGCATTGTTAAAGCTTTTACATTTTTCTTAAAAATGGTTTGTTTATGAAATATTCGACTCTATCCAGATTGTCGGCTTACCCCGTGTAATTCTTTTTGAAAAAGATTTATTACAAAGATGTAATAGAGCGGAATCCTAAATAGACAAGGATAACATACAAGAGAGAAATAACTTATAAAAACGATGGCAAAAACATTACATATATATATATTATTACTATATGTTACAAATTTACGTTAATTGTATGTTTATCTGTTTATATGTCTTACATATATAGATAATATTTCATAGAGAAATTATTTTTAAATAATTTATCTATAATAAATATAATTATAATTTTTTATAACAAGAAGACAATGCAACTACTGTTGTTCCAGGAAATAAATATCAATAACATCACTCTCTCAATTATAGAACTTGTATAGCGATGTACCTTGCTATTTGTGTTCTAGTTAGCATCTAGCTCTAACAAAGTTAATACTTCGCGAGTCAATGCCACATATAATAGACTTCCGTTCGTGAATCTTCTGTAGTCCGTCACAAAAACATATAAAACGCATACAACACAGAAAAAACGCTGACACAATATGCATTTGGATGCAGTTTCGTTATTAGATGATGTGCTTATATTAGGTTAGGTTAGATTACATAATACTTTATCAAATCATAATATTAATATTTATTTTTATTAGTATTGTTTTTTTCTTATAAAAATACGTTATCCAATTTGTTTTTTGTATCAAAGTTATAAAAGTTAATGTAGTAAGGGAGAAAAAGGGAGTTATAAGGAATCAAAGAAAATACCGTTTGTGTGTGTTGTTTTAAATAGATTTATGTAGTTAATTAATTTTATGTTAAAAATATAAAATACATTTCAAATAAAAAGCTAATTATTATAGAATTTTTAATAATATTTATCAACTACACTGATTTTGCTAAATGAATCATTTTAATTGATTCATGTATATTTTATGTTGATTCTAAAAATGAAGTATATATATATTTATCCTACGAGCTCCAATTTTTGTAACTGACATATCTTTTTTTAAAAATGTTGTAATTTGCTAACAATTCGTCGTATGGAGTATTTTTCTTAATTAAATTAATTAAATTTTGTTTAAAGTCTTTTTACCATGAGTAAAAAAAATCATGTTAAATTTAATATTATTCTCTTTAAATTCATTTACATGATTTACGTATAACAATAACCAGGACAGACATAAATAGAGAAGTTTTTAAATATATGTTAATCAAAAATTCTGTTTTTTTCATATAAGTTTTTCATATAAGTTTAACAGATTTCAAATCAGCAAAAAATACCATATCCTGTCAGATCAATTTAACAAAAGAAAAGTGAAACTTTTTTTCTGAAAAGTCAAACAGTATTATTTCGTTAATAACAGTATTATTTAATTAATAAATAATAATTAATAAATAATA